CCGCCGGCCCACCTGCGATTATCAATCACACAAAACACATGTCACCGACCACCGTTCTCTCTAAAGCGTTTTCTTATTAATTTCATCGATCACTTTAGTGCCAAGTACTAATAAATGTACTAATGAACGACGTTTAAATCCTTACCAAATTAATATCACCACCGTTAACGGTTTTTAAAAATATTCGAAGATTATTACTAAAAAAACTGAGCACCAAATGTACTTGGTTTATTATTGAAAGGGTTACTATTACTTGGAAGAGTAATGAACACTCCGTATCAACCATCGATCGAGAAGTTTTGCAATTGTTCTTGGTATAGTAAGAGTTGAAAAGGATAAGAGTCCTGCTTACAAATCTTGTTGCGCAAAAGCAGGTAAATTATTTTATTGTAACAAATAAGAAAGTATGTAATTTAGAGACAGGTTGTATTCGCTGTTCTTAACTGGTCTTGGCACTTAAATGTTCGGTTTTATATATGGAATGTCTTTTAGTGTCCTTAACATTCAATGTTACCTGACCTAAAAATGTCCATGCTTGATTTCCTCGGTAGATAATCCTGCGATAAGAATGTATTTAAAATGTATAAGCATAGTAAATGTTTCATCTCTTTTGCTATCGACTATCGTTTGACTATCGTAAACTTCGGTTTCTCCGGATCTGAATTATTTTATAAGAAATGCAAGCATAGACATAGTAGATAACACATCATGAGATTCAATATCTCGGAAGTGTTCATTATCGAGAAAATGTATTGATTCAGACTCGACGAAGAAAACATTGTATGTTTTAATTCCAAATTACTCTGCAAAAATAAAATGTAATTACTGGTCTCACGATATGGTCAAAAGGAAATTTGTAGCAACACTGATAAACATATGATATTAAAAAGTATGTTAAAGAATAAGTAAGAAATGAGTCTGAATTGACATGATTTCGATATACACTTAATATTTATGATGTCCTATTGTATTCTCTTTCCATAATAACCTCCAAAGAATATCAAAGAAATGATAATTAATTGTGTATTAAAAATATTTGCTTTCTCATCTTTATTTTTTCCTAACATCTCCAAAAAGGATGGAAGGGGTAAGGATAGGATCAAAGTTACTGTTAACCTTTATAACTATGACCTTATAGTATACTATCCTTCCGAAAAATATATAAATAAAATTATCAGATGGTTTTTAAATTACGAACTGAATTTTAAGAAAAAACTTTCCAATTATCATTTATAATGAATTACAATTAAAACTGTTTCAAAACAATTATACAGAACGTGACGAGAAATGAAATCATATTGGTACATTTTTAATGTACTTATAACCAAACTTATCAAATATTTTGTTATTTTTAAGAACAAATTGAATAGTCAATTTAGTAGAACTTACCATAGCTTCCATATCCTTGAGTAGCTGCCGCAGGCTGGACATTGTAACTATTCCCCCACTGATGATGGGGAGGCGGCGGTATTTGTTGTTGTTGTGGAGGACCAGGAGGTGCACCCCAACCTTGCGAATTATATTGAGTAGTGTATCCAGCAGCATATCCTCCAGTCTGAGGACTGGTACCCCAACCTTGATACTGCTGCATCATGTTTCCTGGTGGGCCCATTGGACCCCCCATCATAGGTCCACCCATCTGACCATTTGGACCGCCCATAGGTCCCATATTCCCAGCCATACCCATTGGAGGCCCACCTTGTTGAGGTGGTCCCCATTGACCTTGATGGCTATCATTCATTTTGCTAGAAGAATCTCGTGGTTCTGCACGTTTGATTTCAACCTGTAATCAAAAAATCGGGACGATATGTATGAAACACAACACTCTTATTATCCATCCTCTATGATTGAAATTAATTTGAGATAAATAGGATTTCAACCTCGATTGAATATAAATAATCCTATTTATATCTTAATTTTTATTTTTCTTTCTCTTTTGTGAGAATATGATTAAACCTTTGGAACTCGCCGAGTCTTACATCGATTCTAAAGTATATTCTAATTTTTGACTTGCCACATAACGCATATATATACGATATTCTAGACCTTTCACTCTTTTAAATTGATACTTATATATTAAGGACTAAACATACAATAGTTAAGAGTAACATAGTATGAGAAAATTGTGTAAAATAAAATAAGTACTATAACTAACATGATTATGTAAAACTATGCGGTACATAACAGTAAATTATCGTTAACACATACATTCGTACTTATTATTATTTTACATTACAATAATCTAATGATATATAATATATACTAGTGTGTAGGTATGCTATACCTGTTTTCCATTTAAGTTGACGAAATGCTCCGCTACGCATCGGTCCACTGCGTCTTCATCCTCAAAACTGAGAAAGCCAAATCCTATCGTCCAAACGTGAGAGTATATCAAAAGGTGCCCCATACATTTATACAACAAATACATTTCCTTTATATATAATCCCAACCTTCTGAATTTTTGTCATCATACCATTAGCATTACATTTTATTCTTTTCTGCATATTTTATTTGTACAAATTGATCGTTACATCAATTATCCTTTATGATATTAATGATAATGATTACGAGTATGATTTGGAAAAACATATTTTTATAGTATTTTACACGTAATTTTTTGGTATCAATTGGAACATGCATCTTTCAAAATTTTGTAAATATTTATTGTACAGAACAAGTTCATATAGTATTTATTTTGAATAGTCATAAACTTAAAATACTTAATCTAGTAAATTTATGATGGCTGATTTAAAGAAGCTTCTTAGATTCCTATTTGATGCTACAAAAAATATTCACATATTTTGAATGATTATAACGATGCTAATTTTCTTTTTCATTATTAGGAAAAAATTTTGCTTACAAAATAAGCTGTCACCACATAAGATTATCTACTAATCTAGTTAAATAAACGCATATCATCTCAATTGTAAAGGAATATATCTTGTTAGAAAGATATTATGCATAAAAAAAGGTTTATTTGTTGTCCTCGCTAAATTTATTAACTTCTTGAATGCAGCCACCAAAAATGAATATATAAAGAATAAAGAAGTAATATACCTATATCTGAGTATTGAACAGTTAATACATATTAAAATATAAAGATATCAGTATTAAGATAAAAAATTTTCAAGTAAAAAGACTACTGAAATAAATAATATTCTACTTTATGTAAATATATAATTATTATAAACTGTAAGCTATACGTAATTTTTTATACACATATGATATTAAGAATAAATATAACTAACTCATTTATTATTTAATGAAGAACAAGTGGGTAATAGTAATAAAAAATCAAATTACAGCGTATCTTACTAGTAGCTTAACTTGACGTAAGTTATGTACATTTTAGCTTATGTACTTAATAATCTGATAGTCTTAAGCTATCCTTAATAGAACTTAGCCAAAATCACAATATATATTTAATGTAATTTAATATAACATAAAGTATCTTAACGTTTTTTAAGGTAAGACAAGGCGAATTATTAAGAGTAGCAAAGTAGGATAAGAATACTATGTAAATAACTATGCATAATGCATTGAGTTTTATGTATAAGTACTTAAAATATTTTATAAATATGTATTGAAAACAAATAATATTAATTAAGAAGACTGTGAGTCAGGATGTATTAATCATAATTATTAAAGGAAGCAAGAGCAGGGTCTTTAAAAAAGGGTAATCAAGCAGAGGAAGTTTAATGACCACAAATTATTAACTGACTTTAGGCACAAAATCATATTACTCAAATTTATATTAATTAATTATTATCTTTAAAGTTTACGCTTATTTTCTTTCGTCTTTTTATATGTTAAAACTAGATAAAATTTTAATGTTGTACTTTAAGTAATGGGTGTGCTGCATTCAAGTCAGAATTTTTGATTCCTTATAAAATATACTCATATACACATATATGATTTTGTTATGTTACTATAATGTGTATATCAAATTACATCAAAAATATGTTAGTGAAAAAAACTTATTTCAAGAATTCTGACTGTACTTTCGGACACATAATAAACAAGATGATGATATCCAAATATTTATAAAGCACATTGTTGACCATGGTTCCCATTATATTAAAAAAGGAAATACTCTTATAAATGCAAAACATCATTGGATAAAGTGATATCTTGGATATCATTAATGTAATAAATGGAAACCATTTCAAACAATGCCAATTTAGATATATACATATAATTATCACATCGTACTCACCTCTTGACTTCTTCTTTTCTTGATCATACATTATGACAACCTCCATAACTTTACCAAAACGGGTAAAGAATGACCTCAAATCTGTTTCAGTCACGTTACTTGGTAAGCCACCAAGGAAAACTTTTGGAAAGCCTCCACTGCGTTTCGGCTTTTGCTGAGTGCGTGGATTACAAGGCTTCGGGTCAATCTGTAATAGACACATAAACAATAGGCATAAATAAATTTGTTATATTAAATTATATCAACTCTAGAAACATTTATATTATTTTTATTTTATTAAATAAACTAATACTAACTGTGCGCCCATCAAGTTGATGCGGTCCATTCTGAAGAACTAATGGAACATTAGCTGGATCACTAAATGTTACAAATCCAAAACCACGACTGCGTCCAGATTCACTGTTTTTCATAACAACACAATCAATTACTTCGCCATAACGGCCAAAGTAACGTTGCAGGTTTTCTTGTGTTGTCTCCCATGACAAACCACCAACAAACAGCTTTCTGTAGCAAAAAATTAAAAAAGAGTTATTAATATAATCATATAATTAATACAATCTAAAAAGTGTTTTCAAGACAAATTACAATTAACAAGAATAAACAAATATTTCGAATAAAATAACTACTGGAATACAATTTTTATAACAGGTTATATAACGAAAAAAATTTCGAGGGAGATATTGTACGAAATATATCTAGGTTATTTAATATAATAAATAATGAAAAACAAAAAATGATATCTGCATTTCATATATATTCATTTCATATTTTATATTTATATATATATATATATAAATAATAATATATATATTATAATATATATATATATAAAAGTACATAATATGTATTACAAAACCATTTGTCAATAACTTATTCATTCCGATAATAATTCATAACATTAACGTATCCCACGATACAATTTTTCTCAATAATAAAAATTCTCGGAAAAATCGGTATATAATACACGGATTAGCACGTATCTAACAATAATCGTAATTAGTGAAGCATGCACGAAGAAAGTCATGTAGCGAGGGAGTATTGAAATACTTCGATCTTTCAGGATATAGAGCATAAAAATAGAGAATCTAGAGCTAAAGGATGTAATGAGCGACGATGCAGTAGCATACTTTCACACCGAAATAATATATAGAAAATATACGATATCCCTTAGCTATCATACTCATGATCAGCGATATCTCCAAAACGGCACTATCTAAATGACTAAGAATGCCGGGTCGTGCACGAGAAGAACACTAGACAAGACCGGCATCGGCGAATTATTCCTCTCTCACGAAATGCTACATATCCCAGTCGCTTATTGCTATGGGGAAAAAGGTTGGCCTCGCGTATCGTGGAAATCATATACAAGTAGCAAAAGCTAATGACGTTTTCCGTTATGCGGATAAGAAATTGAGCTCGAGATCAAGAAAAGATTGTAAGGAAATATAAAATACGAAGTAACTGCAATACGCAAATGGAGATCCCACGCAATAAACCCGACAGCCCGTGAACGCGTCGATCGAAAATTCTCGCATAAAAAATAGCTTCAAACGGCTGCTAATACACAATTCAAACTTACCCCTTTTCGTCGTCGTCCATTTCGGTTTTCACTCTCATAATATTTCACTTAAAACTACGAGAATGTTGTTAGTATTAGGGCGCGAATGGGAATATGGCACGATGCTTAACGCGGACGAGGCTAATGGCTCCCTACGATGAACGCGACGTCGAGAACAGAATGTAAACGTAACGAAGCGACTCGCGTCACTTCCGTTAATGAACTAGTCAAATCAGCAATCGTATTCATTGGCGCCTCAGGGGTGTGCGCAGTAGAGCAATACTCCCTCTACAATACAAGTCTTACAGCTACATTTTATGTTCGTTAAATAATTCACGTTTTGACTAACAGTATCTTTTTCCTAAATAAATGACACGCATTTATGAAAATTAATGGATATTTCTCTTATTAAGGAAATAAATTATAGTTGCAAGTTTGTACCGATTAAAGTCTCATTGCAAGGATTTGGTTATTACAATCCTGAAGAAAATATTATACAAGTTCAATGAATTCAATATGCAAGTAAACAATTAATGGAATGATCAATAAAATTTTTTTTTATATTGGTATTAGATAAATAAGAAATATGTCGGAATAAATATACCAGTTGAATGCAGTAGTGCTTCTGGGTTCAACGATCTGTCGTCACATAGCTCCCGCCATTTTGTCCTCCAACTGGCGGGAAATTTTAAATCGGCTGCAATTTATCAGCGCATTGAAGATACGCTTCGTATACAGAGAAAATTGAACCCTCTTTCTTTAATCGTGAGAACGTGCCCGCCCGCATGAAAAAAATGTATCTACATCACAAACTATCGTATATCTATCGCAAATTCACAGTTTTATCAGATAAAATATACTAATTTCCTTCCTACATAAAATGCAATCTTCTAGTTATTGCATAATGTATAAGAAACCGTGCATTGTGCAACGCATTAGTGTCTATACCAATATTAATTTCATGAAGAACTCAGGCAGAACGATGGTTTTATTAAAATCTATGTAATCTCCTGCGTTAGTACGTGAAATCTAATTAAACACATTTTGCTTGAATTTAAAGTCAAACATCATGTTCGAGATGCATATCAGAAACAACAAATTAAATATATAAATCACACCTACATATGATGCAATGCAAAAATAATTTTATGCATTTTTTCCTTTTTTCCCGGACGAATTATTTGCATTGCATCATGTCGAATCTCTTATCTGATAAACTGCGATAATGTAAAACAAGCAGAACCGAACGATCATCAAAGCAATCGTTAGCCTCTGGATATTTTTAAAAATGTATATCTCAACTTTGAATTTTTGTTTAAGTATTTAGTGTTACGTCACTACGAAAAAAGAACACGTGTTCATTCGAAAGGAGCTGATCAAATAAATTTCACTAGAGGATAGAAGTAACAGATTCTAAACATCCGAGGCATGAACAGTTAAAGACTTATGCCGATACTGTTACTTTTTCAAATGTGTGCCTAGATACGTTTTCACCCTCTTTTCCATCCTACACGTCGTTAAAGATCACGCATTTCTCCAAACGCAATAAAGCATATTCGTCGACCAAAAACCATAACGAACTAGAGGTTATCACATGTGTAGAATTCGAGGGATTGGTTCCTCTTTCTCCACTGCTTTCCGGCCCGGAGGATATCCACGAAGCGGCTAAAAATAAAATTATTTAACCCGTCTCGTCACGAGCAAACTTTCCTCTTTCGACTGATTCATCCGGTCTAGACTTCACTGTAATCATTTGAATCATCATAGAACTAGCGTTATCCAATCGCTTCATAGTTCGCCTTGATCAACGATCGTGAAATAAGCAGCTATCAAAATTAAACGAATAGAAGTACATATTAAAATACCAGATCAAGATATGGATAACCAAATGTCGCTGTAAATAATCGCGTGTCGCTAGTCGATCTTTTTGAAATTCTCATAGTACACCTACGTCTACGGTTTGCGTCTTAATCCGATCGTTCCGC